GGTTTCGAGAAATAAAACTTAATGGCAGAACGCAAACCAGATCCACGAGGGCGGCCGTGTGCTGCTGGGCTGAATCAACTCTTAAGATTTAATAATAAAATAATATGCATTGTTGGGTGAAGGGGGGTCGTACTAAGATACATTTTTGGACATGAACCTATATTTTTGGAACTGATAAACCAGATTCGATAGCATTAAAGTCTTTATGTCAATAATATGCGCGTGAATCGGGATGTAGAAACACAAGGAGACACTGTTACTGAAATCATCGATGAAGGATCTATTCGACACCTGAATATCTACCAACTTTTGTGCAGAGTATTGTGTCAAGACCGAAAACTGGTCGACTTCGGGGAAGACCTCTTGGGTCACCTTACGTCTTTAAAAAGTGCAATATATCAATAAGTATTATGTGCTTTCTAACAAATGCCAAGTCCCTGTCAAAGACCATCTCAGAAATAGGTATCTCACTTTCGAATGTTAGCAAAGACCTCTTTGTTCTGAGAACTCTTGGCACAATATATCTGCCCAAAGAATGGAAAGAGAGCATTCTATGGTAGACGGGTTCTTCAATTCTAAGCGTTACACACGGACCTCAATCAAATGGGCCCTTGAAGAACAAAGTGTTATTCTCTACTAGTGGCTCCATGAGTATTAAGCAGTCCTATTAAAAGATTCTTGTAGTCAAAGTCGTAAAAAATTCAATTGAGAATACTTTCCACAACTGGCACAAATTTCCAGTTTAATTTTATCGCATAAAGGAAGTAAATTTAGTGGAAATTATTCAGTGATTCATTACCGTTCTAAAAAATGCACAAACAATGGAATAAGTTCAATTCGCAAAACTTTGAGTATATTCCGATCTCGTTTAATTTTTGCCAGCAATATTAATAAACTAATATAGTTTAGTTATTGGTACGCAACGGGTTTCATGTTCTTTCTCGCGTATAAAAATTCTATTGATACAGAACTTTTAAAATGTTTGGGTTTTAATTTTAGTCATTCATTTTACTTTAACCCCAGAATCAAATCACGCAAAGCTAGGATAATAACCCATTTTACTTTGGCCAAGTTTAAAACCACTCAAGATAAGGGCGTCCATAGTACTGTTTTTAAGGGGGCGTAAAGAAATACTCCTCTCTTCTAACTCTAGGTGAGAATACATATATTTGAAACTCTTTCATTTTCTACTACTTAATGTACAGGGTGATCCAGATTTTACAGAAACACCTTTTATTTTAAGAGATAGAAAAAATGGACCTAGGTATCTGGAACTCAATTTTATAGAGAAAATCATTGGAGCAAACAGAATTCAGCTATCTGTAATCGTTTAGCCGCTAGGGGCGTTTCATGAATGTAGTCGACTTCTCTAATGCCCCATTTAAGAATTTAAGAATAAGATACTTATCTTATTCTTAAAGTTGATTGATTTTGGCACAATCTTTCTTAGAGCACTTTTTTATGTGGAATCCATCGCGATACACAGGTTTTATACCGAGAGTTTTCTTATACGGCCCTAAACTACTTTTTTTATACGCGCTACTCTATATAGGTATATTTTGGAGTTTTTGAAGAGAGCGAAAAATTTCCTACATTTTGGTGTACACTTGATATATTTATATTAAATATTATTAACAATATTGCACTTTATACGTTAAAATACTGTTATTGTAGACATCTAGGTTTCCATGGCGAATAAAAGATGGCAGGATGCACAATGATAAACTACTAGAAATTCCTGTATTGAAACAAATTAATTCCTAGCTTAAATTTAATTTCGGTAGATAATAGGAAATGAACTTCATTCTTCCACAATGATACTACAATGCTTTTCTTTCGAAGAGAAGGGTTCTACGTTTAGGCAAAATTATTTCACCACAACCTGAAGATCTTTGGCCATCTTGATGATGTAGTTTAGTTAATATGTGGATGTAGTATAATAATATTATTTATTTTTCATGCAAGAGCGCTTACATTTGTCATAAAATGAATAAGTAGAGATTACAAACAACGTATTATATCAACTAACAAAACAAATATAAATTACTAACAATTAAAGGTTACTAAATCCATCGTACGCTCGAATGTTGTCTTTATGCCTCGTATTGTGATTATGATAGCTCGAGTGCGTTTGGAAATCCGATTGGTTGGATTTAGCGTATAGGATTCTAGAATCTAGAATATAAATTGATGGCAGAGTTAGAATATGCAATGCGCCGAAAGAGTTTCTGCAGTCAGCCCTGTAAGGTACCATAGAGTAAATATATTATTTACTCTAGGAAGGTACTGAATCCAGTATGCTAATAACTCGCCTCTGTAGAGCAAAGACGTCGATGGATGCGGCGGAGTCGCCCCAAACTAAAATTCCATAATAGGTTATCGCGTGAACTAAGGCATAATATGAAGTTACAAGTTTATGTTTTGAGGCATTATTTGCCAAGACATAGGTGTTGCTGCTTATTTTTTTACAAGTGTTTGTAGTATGCATTTTCAATGTTAACGTAACATCGATATGTAATCCGAGAAACTTAATAGATTCGGGGTTATTATAGGTGTGCCTCTTTAATGTGGACAAGAGTCCCACTATTTTTGTACGTTTTAAATCGTTTGCAGTGCATCATGTGGTTGTAAGAGTGAGTAGTACATCTCGTATGGGCAAGACATCCTCAAGAGTTTCTCGGTTTACCAAGAGCGTTGAGTCATCTGCGTAGAGGATACAGTCCGCATACGGTTTTATATAAGGAAGATCATTAAAATATATAGTGTCCCTAATATTGACCCCTGTGATACTCCTCTTTTAATGCGTAATTTATCAGATCTCACTTTGTTATGTAATCACATGTTGAAATCTATCAGAGAGATACGATTCTATCAAATTTAGGCTATTTACGTCAAAATTATATATTATTACTTTAAGTTTACGTATTATATGAGGTGAGACACTATCGAACGCCTTAGATTGGTCCATGAAAATTGCTAATAAGTATTTTCCCTCTTCAAAGCAAGTAACGGTATTATTTATAAACTTTGATAGTGTATCTGTGGTGCTTTTTTGCTTTCTGAAACCTTATTGTTCAATATGCAACAGATTATTAGTTTCAAAGTACTCGGCAATTTGATTATATAAAATTCTTTCAAATATTTTAGAAAAAACAAGCAGTATCCATATGGGCCGATAGTTTGTATAGTCATTCGTATTGCCTGATTTAAAAACTTGCCACCTTCAGTTGGTCTGGAAAGTGCCCTGATAATATTGTAAGATTAATTAATTTGGTCAATGGTAGGACCAAGTGATTAATATTACCTTTGACAATAGAGTAGATTACATATGTCTTTAGTTGAGCTATTACTTATAGGTAGATATAATTGCATCCCTCGCTATAGAAGGAGTTACTCTACTACAATCAACCATCAGCATTATTTCGGAATCGTTTCTGTGAAAATATTGTGCAAAATCTGAATAAAATAAGTTTTCTGAGCTAAGTCTATATAAATTAGGTGAACGAGTATGACAATTTCTTCTGTTAATTAATCATTACTCTTGACTTTTCTTAAATGAATAATATAAACAAACTGCTTGAACGATCACTTATAAGTTTTTATGCAATTTTACGGTTAGCAGTGGCATTTAAACGCCAGCTTAATCGGAAACACATGAATGAAGTGTACGACAATATTATTTAATAACAACTTTGAATATAAATTATGTTATTGTTAAAGTATGGGGAAATAAAAACTTCATTTTTATTATTTCGATATTACCGTATAATGGTTCATCACATATAGGTATACAACAGTTATATAATAAAATCTTGTTATGTAGATGTGTAACTAGTTCAGGAAGTTATATTGCTAATCGTTACGCTTTTATATATAACTACATCAATACAGCGTGTAACGGCTAGAGTCTAGACAGCTCCAAAAGAAATTCAATCAAAGCATTGCAGCATCCCAAAATCTTGAGCAAATTGAACACGTGGCAGGATGGAGTCGCGGTGAATGGGACATACGAGGACAAAAGTAGAGGATGTTTTTTTAGTTCTGCGAATATGTTGATAAAAAAAGTTTTATGAGTGAATTTACGCTAATTCAGGCTAAAACTTTTAATGATTTACTTTATCCTTCATTTACAGTTAATAATAGTAATTTTACACGATATCTTATCCACCTTTACTTTAAAGAAGATATCAAATCGACTGTTATCGAAAGTATCAAATATTTGCCTTACCTACAACAGCCGAAACGATTAAATAATGACAAGCCTTTAATTATAAACCAACGTATACAAAATCTGCTGGTATGGTTGTGTTTTTTGTTGTTTTCGTAGCACTTCGCTCCTTTCATTATTCAATGGTAGAAAACTCGGTAGTTGTTCATTCGTTTAACGTTTTCCTTTTGCAAACATTACAATAGATAAAACTACATCAACAATAAAAAATGTATGTAGGTATATATCGTCATGAAAGGAGAGATTTACATGCGTAATAACTTTCTATATATGACATTTTATATTCAAGGAGGATAATTAATCGAACGGTATTTGAAGATATTTTTGGCAAGAAAACGGTGGCTGGATTTATCAGTCAATGCTATAACCGTTGACTGATAAATCCTAATATTTAAGAAAAAAGCCTATAAGAAGTTTTAATCCTCAACATTTTTAAACCCCAGCAATTTTGAAATTCGCATTTAAATGAGGTATATTAAAATCACCTAGCATAACATATGAATCATGAATTTGTTGAATTCCATCTATTTTACTAGAAAATTACAAATATTCTTCACAATTTGACGATGGCAAAGAATAGGTTACCCATAATAAAATCGTTCGCGAAATATTACAAAACTTAAAGTGAGTAGACACAATGAGCCTTCGATGTGCCTGTCTCCCCTGGGCTCCCCTTATGAATAGAATAGAATAGAGGTCTGTAGCAGTAAGGTTTCACATTTAAAGATACGCATTTTGAAAGCTTTTTCGTGGAAGGGTTGCAGAATAGAGGTTTTTAGTAATTTAAACACAATCCCAAAATTTAATATACGTTCGGATACAAAATAGGTTGTCTTTATTTCCTAACTAACCCGCAGCTATTCATCTTTTTTACGTGATCGATGTGTTTCTCAATAACCGGATACCAATCTGCACCAGTATAATTGATTTCAGGGAGTTCGCCGCCATAGTTTTTGGGTAGGTGCGATGGAGCCATATGCTTATGTAGCGAAGACATTTTGGATCCATGGAAGAAGAGCTAGAATCGATTCACATGACAACACGGCACTAATCATGCTCATCCAACTTACTCGTGATTTTAGCTTTTCCTTGATAAATGGTTTAAAAATGGTCCATATGATATTGAAGATGAACGGTTGCTTAACAATATGTACTTCTTTGAGACGTAAAGGCATAGCATCTTGAATAAATCCCAATAGTTTCATGCTAAAAGCTGGATTGAACGCCAACGCTTGTCTATGACCGAGACCATCGAAATCCATCATTACCACCGCGCCTCTAACTTGAGTTTCTGGTTCCAGTAAAGCCGCCTCGTGAATTAAATAGAATATTCTGAATAGCTGATCTGCGGTTACTTTCGAGGGATCCCACGATCCTGGAAAAAGATGTACCCAGCCATCAAAATAATGGGTACTTACCTCCAACGTTGACAACCAGAACGCGGCGCCCTTTGTGATCCCGGTCCTTCAAAATGTTACAAACCGAGTACTTTGTGAACGCTTCTCGCTCATCGCTTGGCATTAGATCGGTCAACTGATGCTTGTACTGCTCTTTGAAGTCCGCAATCCTTTTCATCTACAAAAAATTAATTCAGATATTATTCTTGCAATATTATATACGGTCTACTCCTAAGTACGAGTAGGTAGTGTTTCAAAATTTCCGGAAAAATTGGTCTCTTAGAAGAAAACCTGCTTTATGTTTATGTCTATGCTTAAACAAAACTGCATTGATTACATTTATGACTTAGAAAACAGCCAATCAGTGGGCATCTACGTGTCTGCAGCTCCGCGGGTCACGGGGAAGTGCTTTTGAGGATTCTGAAGGGGCTGAAGAGGAGAAAATTTCCGAAGAGCAGACAGAAAGTGAAGAGGCAGAAGAAGGTTTGTAACGAAGCACTCGTTTTCGCACATGTGTTCTACCAGCTTTAATGAACGTACGGTATATTAATGAAATCAAATGGGCGCGTCATTACTAAAAACCGTAACTTCTAGACATAATTATTTGATTATCTGTTGATGCGGTAGTAGAATCGCATATTTTTCGCTATTTTGGGGGGTGTGAAATCCACTCGTCCAGCAAGACACTGCTCGTTCCCATACAGTAAAAGACAATATAGTGCCCATGGTCAGCCAGAACGTTCGTCTGTTGGGCGTGTGTGAGATACTATAGGTAAAATAGTGAGGAATTAGGTGGATCCTGTATAGACCACTTTAACCCATCGATTCCATTCCATTTCACAAAGATTCTGGGTCCGCGACTTACCCATTTGGTCTTTCGGAAGTGATGAAATGATTAACAAGGAAAGTTGAATGAAATCAACGTATCCAACTTCCCAAACCAAGGTATTCACGTGTAATTATGTAAATAGAATTGGGAAGTAAAAGGGCACACAAACTGTAGGTCCCCCATCGATTAGGGGTGTATTATTTTGGCGTGGGAATTTCTTAAATATTTCTACAAAATCGCAAAGGCCATGTTTAAAAACCGTGGTCCCATTTTTTTATTGGATGGGACTCCTAAGAAAAAAATTAAAGAGACTCAAATTTTGGACTTTATGAAATTGAAAAATGGCAATAATTTTAAATGGTGCGATTTTTTTGTTGCGCCAAGTTGCATTTCTGTTCAAACGATCAGAAAATAGGTTTGGGTTCGGTATTTTCGTGTTCAAACATACCAAATTTTGTCGAGATTGTCGCAAATTCGGTCTGGAGTGCACCATCTAGAAATGAGGATTTTGGAAAAATCAGAAAGATCATACCCAAAAACCTAGAAAATCCTCTCTTCCAAACATTTTTTTTTTGCATGCTTAATTGTTACACCCAGTATACATTACATATCAATTATATCTTGAATATTATTATTCCTAGGCTTCATATATGTATTTTCTGTAGATTCTCTGGGCCTTACAGAATCAGTAAATCATAAATACTCCATGTATTCTGTGGGATGTGCGGATTCTGATACATCCAGTAAGACCACTAAGATCGCTAAATTTCGTAAATCCGTGGATTCAGTTGGTCCTGTACATTTTGTAGAATCCGTAGTACCTGTAGATTTTGTGGGATTCTGTGACTCTAGATCTTGTAGTGTTGTAGAGTTTAAAAATTATGTATGGATTCTGATGACTTTCTGCTTTTCCAAAACCGTTAAATTTACATTCTGTGAATTCTACAGGTTCTCTAAACCAATATACGTGTGGCCAATGGCGTACTTCTGCATGGTCAAGGGGGCCATACCTTTTTTTAATGGCAACTACTACTTTTCATTACATATTAATATGAGTCCACTTTTTTAGATATAGCAGCGTAAAAGCATAACCAAATTTAAGAAAAAAACTCAAATTTCAAAAAAAGTGGAAATCATTAATTTTAAAATGTTGCTAATTTGATCATGTTTTTTTAAAATTATATATTAAACACATGTTCATGCTTTGATAGTACATCACTAGTGCATTCCATTAAAAAAAGGTACCCCCTTAGTTTTATTGACACACGCCACTATAAATAATGTTTAAACATACAGGGTGTTTTTTTGGGAGCTTTAGTTAAACGTTTCTGGGAAAGTAAAATACGTAGGTTTTTGAAAATTTGTACTTAGGAGTTACTCTGAAGGCCGAATCGATGTAAAATATTTTCAAAATGTCCGCACTTCCGGAAACACCGGAAGTAGATAGTAATTCCGTTATTTTAAATGGCAACCCCTATTTTTTATTGCATTTTTGGATTCTACGTGAAATTTCAGTTCTTTTGATACCCATATGTCGATATCTGCCATTTATGATTTTTAAGTTATTTTGACTTTAAGAAAAAAAATGGCGGATGCAGATGGTACCTTGATAATTGATTACTTGAAAACGGTTATAGTCATGGCAACCCATTTTTATCAGTGCATAGAGAATGAATAGGGCTTTCTTTTAGTGTACTTAAAAAAAAGTTAAGTTGCGTACAACCGCACCTATGGAGATCCAAATTGAAGAAACTTCAAAGTCCATAAACTCAGTTTTTTTAAATGGAATGACCATGTTCTTAATATTGCATGAGATAGAGAATCGAAATTGGCATATTTTGATATTACATGTTCCTATAGCTATCTTTAACAGTTTCTGATTTATTCCCATTTCATTGGATTGATCTCGGAATTGATGTCATTTTTTTTCGCATTTTCTTTTTAGTAGATGGCCATGATTTTATAACAATCGAATTTTAAACAAATCAAGGAATGGAGTCTTTAATACCATTGATTCTAGTTCTAGTCTAAATAATTCATTAATAAATAACTCATTTATTAAGGATATAGGACGGAAAATTTTTGAAAAATTTGTTAATCTTGCATTTGCAATTCAATTCATTTTCTTAAATATTCTCTTGTAGAGCTTTGTATCACTTGTGCTTCAACCGTTTGTAGTGCATTAGGGGTACAAAATTTCCAAAACTCATACAATTTCGTTCCAGTTTTAGAATGAATGTACGGAAAGCACGCGCCGCGATTCTGCCCATTTCACCATAAATAACAATTAAATTCCAAAATAGGTGAAACCACTGCGAGTCATTTTTCGATCTTTGAAAAACTTATGTTAACCTATAACAGTGGGTGATGGATTAGTGTCACTAGATTTGTTTAAAATTCAATTGTTATAGAATCATGGCCGACTACTAAAAAGAAAATCCGAAAAAAATAGTGTCAATTCAATAAAATGGGAATAAGTCAGAAACTGTTAAAGATAGCTATAGGAACATGTATTGTCAAAATATGCCCATTTCGATTCTCTATCTCATGGAATAGTAAGAACATGGTCATTCCATTTAAAAAAACTGAGTTTTTAGTCTTTGAAGTTTCATAAATTTGGATATCCATAGGGGCGGTCGTATGCAACTTAACTTTTTTTTAAGTGCACTAAAAGAAAGCCCTATTCATTCTCTATGCACTGATAAAAATAGGTTGCCATGACTACAACCGTTTTCAAGTAATCAATTATCAAGGTACTATCTGCATCCGCCATTTTTTTTCTTAAAGTCAAAATAACTTAAAAACCATAAATGGTAGATATTGACATATGGGTATCAAAAGAAGTGAAATTTCACGTAGAATCCAAAAATGCAATAAAAAATAGGGGTTGCCATTTAAAATAACGAAGTTACTATCTACTTCCGGTGTTTCCGGAAGTGCGGCCATTTTGAAAATATTTTACATAGATTCGGCCTTCAGAGTAACTCCTAAGTACAAATTTTCAAAAACCTACTTATTTTACTTTCCCAGAACCTTTTAACTAAAGCTCCCAAAAAAACACCCTGTATACATTTACTTATAAATTTTTAGTGATATTTGATACAATAAAGTACTTTGACGTAACTAACACTAGAGTCACTTTTTTTTTCAACGCAAACTTGTGAAATGATAAAATTAATTAACACAATTATTATCGTTTCTCTCAAATTTGTTTATGTAATAACATTTTTATTTTACTATATCCCCAAAAGTGTACTCTTTAAGAATATATAACGAAAACTAGTAGTTGCCATTAAAAAAGATATTCCCACCTTGACCATGCAGAAGTACGCCACTGACCACTTTTTATAATTTGGGGTACCATAAAAAGTTTCTTTAAAAAATTATGTTTTGAAGATATCTAAACAGACTTTTTCTATGCGAAATGTGACAAAATAGATTCTAATCAATATTTGGAAATGATATCCTCGATGAAAAAATAAAATAAATGAAAACGCTTCGAATGAAATCGCAAGATTATGACATAAATCCTAAAAATTATAATAACGTGTACATACCAGCGCGAGGGCGCTCTTCGCGTAGAATTTACATGGCCTCAAAAAAATCGTCAAAAACTCTTCGTCGTCTGGGAAGTAAATCGTCGGATCATTTTTTAGCAACTCCCTTAATTCCGCAATAGCTTCTTTTACAACTTCAGGAGTTTCCCTTAGCTCTATGGCCGCGAATGCCTTGTTCTCTTCACTTAAAGGGCCCTGTTCGACATCAAAAGGAGATTCCATCTAAAAGTCGGAAAGGTAATCGCAACACCTGACTTAAAAAAAGGATCACAAACCTCGCACTGTAGGTATGACAGCTTTCGAAGCGAACAAAAAGATACTGATAACTTTTTACTGATCCACACCAAGTATTGGGTCCGATATTATAATATTTATCTCTTTGTAATACTTTGTTCATTTCAAAGTTCATATTTAAACATTATTTTGTAATTTCGAGACATTCACACAATTTTGTCAAGCACAGTGGCGTATCAATACGTCATCTCGGCGGTGTTTACTGGGGTATTGTTATAGAAAAACAATAGAAGGCTATCGGTAAATGAATAAGCATCAATCAGGTAAATAACGCATTAAATAATCATTTTTGCGATAGTAATTGTACTGGAATGGGAATACAAATATGCATGTAATCGATATACAACTAAAATTACTAAACATTGAATAATCTAATCATTTTAACATTGAATATGTGTTCGTGTTGCAATTTTTCAAACTTAAAGAAAGTGTGCACGCTACTGCACATTGTATGATAAAATATTCATTATCAATAATTAATAAAAACAAGAATAGTTTATCGTATAAGACCTACACCATGATATGATATTTACTATTAGCTTGTTAGGCAATTTCTACGCGGTTACCCATTTTGAATGCAAAATGTGATATATAGGTAGGAAGGATACTTTAGTCGTATCATGTTTCTGACACACTCACCCTATATGTAGTTCTATAAATAGCAACAAATGCGATAACCTTTTTGCTTCTAGTTAACAATTCAATGTAATGGTGCGTCACAAAAGGAAATTATAATCGTTATATGTTAGAGTGATTCAGAATTTTTTTGGAGTTTGGAATCGGATTGAAAAACAATAACCGATATTCGACAAAAGATTGTCTCCTATATAAATATCTGTTCGATGTTTCTTTATACGGCTATCCGGTGGTCCCCGATTTACGAAATGTTGGTGAATTTATAATATTTGGCAGTAGATTTTTGGCCTCCGCCCATAAATTTCTAGAGTAGAATACATTATGTAGCTGTAGAATAATCTGGAGCGGTGGCCATAACTCCACAAAAAAGTGTCCTCAACTCTATTTTCTTATGCAGAAACACAAACAAACATGCTTGAAGGATTGGAAATCTGACTAGAGCTGGTATACCGTCTAATTAAAGCTATAGACGGTTTTTACTTTGGGATTTCAGAAAAAAAGTTTTCTTGAGTAATGTTAGAGCTTTGGCTAGAGTTCTGGACAGCCCCTTAATAGTTTTGAACCTTTCCGTAATCGAGTTCTGTGGTTAAACCTTACCATACAAAAATGAAGAATGTTTTGTTATACTCTTAAGTGCCAAAAGAATATTTTAAACCATCTCAGATCTCTCAAGATTTCTCTAACTAGAAGATATGAAAGGTTGTTATCCTAGGGCTTGAAAATACAAATTTTCTTGGGAAAAATTAGAATTCTAGCACCCGACTAGTTCTAAAACTGTGGCCATTAGAGTTTTATGGGAAAGTTGTGATCAAAGACAAGAATAAATTGTGTAAAATTCTTATGCATTTTTTTAAACGAAATAGCTTAGTAGTAGTAGAACCCTACAATTTGCTTAACGTGCCGAACTAAAACGTGCTCATAACTAGAAAGAGAATGATACCGGGAAAAGAAGCAAAGAATTCAAAGGGCGGAAAGATCCATGGACAAGAGACAGGAGACGCCAGTAAACGCAAAAATGTTAAGTATACCAGCGAATCTCAAACAATTAACTACAGTGACGGTATAATTAATACTTACTAAAATAAACTGTTACTTTGGAGAAGCTTTCCAGAACCCTGTCCAAAAACCTAACATTATACAAAGAATAAGTCTTTCTTATGGACAAAAACATCTGAACGTTGAGAGGTTAAAAAGCTATTATAACTAAAATAACAGAATTCACATCCTAACACACTAAAAATTACTTCAGAAGCAAATTCGCGAATACCTGAAATCGTATGTTCAATAGGAGAAGTATAACTTTTTTTTTAAATTGCCTAGTTTGTCTTTCAAAAAGTCAGACACTGTAAATATGGTGGTAAATTATAAATAATTGTCAGTCGCGTCATTTATGAGTTTAGATAATTTGTTTAAACGACCATAATTAATATACACTTTAAAACTATTATTGTAGTAATAAATTTTGAAATAAAGTGTTAATCGGTCCATTTGTTGATAGTCACGCAAAAGTTATCATTTTTGCTGCAATGTTCGTGTTCCCACATATCTGCCATATGAAAACGATTTCTATTATCTCAATCCTGCTTTGAACTGGATCAGTCAAATGCTACTTGTAATTACGGATAAAATAAAGTTCATCATGAATACGGGAGCCATGAGCGACTCGAAATTGCACTTGATGAATGATATAATTTCTTATATCTTATCTTTTGGTTATATCATTTTTGGTTAAAAATTAAGTACGCGTGTACTTATTCAATTACAATACGTGTATAGGTATAGCTAATACGAACGGGACTAGACTAGACTATCAAATATTACCGTAGGGTCCTTCTCTCTGGGACCCTCCTCAAATAATGCTCTTACATTTAATTACATGTATCATTGTATCAAATACCGATAAATAATGCAGTTAGACAGATGAATAGAATTCCGTAGCGCCCTTTTTAATTATCTCACAGATGGAATTGGAATACTTTGCTAATATCACAGATTTAGTATATTTAAATCTGTTCTAATATTTACCCCTTGAAATATTTATACACGGTGCAAAATATGAGCAGGTACAGGAGTATGTTACACCCAGGGCATTAAGGACTCATTAAAATCTCTTTAATGGACCCGGTTTCACAAACGATGATAAAGGTAAATCAATGATTAATAGTAGGTATATTAAGTAACAAGGGATTAAAAAGAGTTTTTGTACCTGAGAGAATGGTTTAAAGCCCGAGGCTTGCCGAGGGCCTTAATATTCTTAAGGGAACAAAAACTAGTTTAATCCAATGTTGCTTATACTATTTTTTTATTATACCTGAATCACAATCTCCGTTTTAAACACTCAAATGCGTGCGAAAAAAGGCCTTTAAAACACACGTGCTTTAAAGTTGCTAAGTAACGATACTTCAAGTATGACTTTTGAAACTGTCATCTGGATGAAATAAAAAATCCTCTTAGGTCGCTTTCTGTAAATGCAGAACATTTCTTTGGCTTTTGTACCTATCCTTTGGTTGAAGCTTTCACAAACGCGCGCAATTTAGTGTATGCTTCCAAATCTGTTCCACTTTTTAATCGCAGCATTGCTTTAAAGTTTTGAATGAATGCACCAAAATATAGAAGATTTAAATACCTTTGACATTTCCTTCATATATGCTAGCATTATGGATGCATTTAAGATGTATTCGTAAGTAACTTCCTATTCATCCATGGAAAAAACTTTTCATATTCTTTATAATAGGCTTTGCTGGAGTTGGATTTTACACCTACCAACGTTTGTTTAGATTTTACAACAATCGATTTAATGGACGGTGTATTATCTTTTTCAACGGAAATCGTTTAATTCACAAAGACGATGATTTTTATAAGCAAACGTCAAGTGACATTTCCATGGCAATCGTGAAATTACGAACACCCAGCCCACTTAATTAGACATGTATTCGAGTATAACGTCAATATGACTTCATTGTATTTCCTATTTTTAAATTATACTGCAGGTATAATAAAAAATACTATAAGATACACGTGTATAATTGATCTTTAAAGCACTTGCAACGTTAAATGCACTCCGCTTTGCGTCGTGCCCTTAAACAAGTTGATCGTGCTTTAAAGACTTGATTATACACTTGTATCTTAATATACTATTTCCAATGCCGACCGATTTCAATCCATTTTTCCATGAATTGTTCACAAAAAAACAAAAATGAGAGATTAAAATTTTCCCTAGGGATTAAAATTACCTTAAACAAAAATTAGGGATTAAATGCAATAAAACAATGTAGGTATTGGAAAAAAAAATTAGAATGTTAGCCACCTTTGATGTATCCCATTCCAATATTTTTAATCAGTGATTATCCTTAATCATCGTTTGTAAAACCAGGCATTAGAGATTCTTCAAGATGCGTCCTTCACATACCTACTAAATTTCTTAGAAACTTAAAAACACAGCACAGCTCTTATGGACTCAGCTCTTTAAGAGACAAAAGAATCGGTTGCTTGAATGTAAACGGTATAGTAAAAAAATATAAAATTTAATTACGATAAAAGGAAATACAAATATATGTAAATTTGAATTGACAAAATAAACGATTCCAGGGAACGGACGATCGGTTACTGACGAATACTGTAAAAGAAAATTACAAAAATTAAATTTCTCGGCTTCTCTCATCATAATAATCCGGGACTAGCTCCAAAACCCATGCCAATTAAGCGCGCTTCATTTGACATTAGACACAAACAAATCAGACGAGGTTTCTGCAACACAATTAATTATATACTCAACTAAATGGCCGGACTGAACCTCCGAAATTCTGTATTTCAATTAACACTGATAGCATCCCGGAATCCTGGGATCAAGTAACAGGTTTATCTACGTGTAAAGTAGCATCCTTGCATGTTTCTATCCTAGCTTTAAATTACACAGGGAAACTGGAATCGCCTAATACCAAATTAACGGAGCTGAAATCCTAAAATATTACTTTTTCCTACCTGGCGGAGAAATAATGTTCCTAACTACCTACTACTAACAGTTTTGCCTTATTAGCGCATTTTTGCAAAAAATTTTTTTGTAAAAAGTAGCTTTTAATCTCACTTTGGCTGGCTGGCTGGCTGGCAGTAAATGCGCCCCCGTAGAAAAACGCTTGTAAAAAGACAAGGAGTGTACATGTAACTATCGGGGCCGTGTAATTAAGAACGTTAGGGATGGGGCTACAAGATTTGGAGTCGACGACATCTGGACGCCATCCCCGAACGTATTATACTAACCTGGAGATTTTTCAGTTTTTATCTATCTTCTTCTACAGTTTTTCTCCGATTGTTTTCAAATTGGTGTTGTCGGGAAGATCTTGTCAACGCGCACAACTCCTGCGTGGCGGAATTTTGTTTTTTTTTCCTAGGGGCGAAATAAACCACCTTTTGCGCGGCGCGCTTCGAGGGGTAGTCGACTTTGGGCGCCCAAAAGTTTCTTACAGCGCGAATCGCGGTCTCTCTTTCTCGTGTCACTAATAGAAGGTCGAGCTATGTGAAGTACCCAAAAGTTGAATACGATTTTATGCCGGGATTTTAGCGAAATCTACCAAAATGTGAATTACGAATGAACGG